CTCAATTGCACGTGCGTGAGGGCCGCTTCAACCCCCCCCCCCCCCAAAAAAAAAAAAAAACCCCAAATACACGCACATATCTTCATAAATGAATTGGGTTCTAGAATATAATTTTCTTTTTTACAATTATTAATAGAATCATATTTGCTTCCAGTTCAGTGGTATGATGATATTGGCTGGTGTTGGTTTTACTATTTTTGTTTTTTGGTGGATAATGGGTTGTGGGACTGGCCGTGCTCCATTGGGTTGCCTTTGTTTTTTTTTTTTCTAGCTTGAAGAGGGATAAAAGGACTTTATTCGATGCCAAGAGTACAAATACCAATGAAGCACTGAGTCACTCAGACATCTACAAAATGTTGGCATGTCAAACACACCTTCACACGAGTTTCATACATCTCCAATGTCTTACAATTGAAAATTATTATTATTTTTAGACATTTTTTAGGTATAATTTTAATATCTTCCTACCACGACTTAATATGAATTAAGAGAGTATGTCAACTCTTACTCTTAACTAAAAACTTGTCTAACATTCTTGTTATAAGAAAATTTAAAAAAATCAACTTAATTATAAATAAATATTATAAGGTTCATAACATTTTTAATTTATTATGAAACTCATTTTTACAAGAATTATTTGATATTTTAACTTTTCATATATATGATTCATCTTATAAGAGTCATTATCATATAAAAATTTAAAGTTTATATATATGATTCATCTTATAAGAGTCTGTGGTATTTCCATGTCCGACTTTTTAGACATTAGTCGTATCTGTGTTGTATGGTGTGCATGTCAAAGTTGGGGTCGGTGCTTCATAAACAAAAACTGTATGATTCTTTTATGCATACTAGTATTGATGTTGCTTGTCATTCCCTTAAAAAATTTGTGAAAATTGTTTTCAAACTATGTTTAGGTAATACCCAGATATGGTGCTCTAAGCCCAACGAGAGGTTAAATGATGAGAACTACCGTAAGAACTAAGGCTACCAGAACAAAACTAAGAAAGATTTAATTCAGAATTTCATCATAATTCTCAACTAGAGATGTCCAGGTATTAAATACCTCTTACAATGGTCTAAAGAGACCTTGGAGGAAAAGATAAACATTATGGGCTTAAAAACTTAAAGAACCAAACTATCCCAATTTGCAATCTTTGGTCCAATACGGAGGAAGCTTGGGCCTACGTGAACTTGCTCTATCAATGCCGCTAGGTTGAGGCAGTACCTTGTCCTCAAGGGTGCTACGTGGCGTTGCGGAACAGGGGTATTTTGGTGAAGCACGGATTGAAGGAAGCACGGACGGTGGAGATGCATTTGTGTTTTCTGTTGACTCATCCAATGGCTCTAAAGTGTTAGGTGAGTGAGTGGGAAAACCAACAACTGTTGCTATTTCCAAGTGTGTCGTGGCACGCAAAGGATCTGGCCGCGAGTCAATAATAAGCCTTGGGTTCACTCGAGTACCCCCCTCTTAGAGTTAAGTTGCTCAGTATCTTCAACCTTATCAGAGTCCACGTTGCTGCCCACGGAGAGTGACGAAAGCGGTTCATCTTCCACGAGAAGGGATGGTGGAGGTGTGTGAAACAACGTCGACGGGTCATCTCCGACGAAGGGCCGCAGTTTCGACACATGAAACACGGGGTGGATCCGCGAGCCGGCCGGTAACTCCAACTCGTACGCAACCATGCCAAGGCGTCGACGAATCTGGAAAGGTCCATAAAATCGTTTAACAGAGGTTTGGCGGTATGGTTGAAGGCACACCCAAACCCAATCACCCACAGCAAAACAGGCGTCTCGGCAGTGTTTATCGGCTTCAAGCTTCATTCTCTGGCGTGCGCGATGGAGGTGATGTTTCACTATTGATACAATCATTTTGTGTTCTTGTAGGATGGCGGATACCGTGGGAAGCAGCGGCTTGTTGCAGGAAAGGAGATCAAGGGTGGTTGGCGGTGGCCGACCGTAGAGAACGTGAAAAGGAGATGTGTCCAAACTGGAGTGTTTGCTAGTGTGGTACCAAAACTCGGCAAGGTGAAGGATGCGAAACCACGAACGAGGGGTATCACTCACTAAACAGCGTAAAAAACACTCCAGTGTGCGGTTGAGGACCTCCGTCTGGCCGTCGGTTTGCAGGTGGTAAGATGAACTATACTTAAGCTTAGTCCCTTGTGCTTTAAAAATTTCACGCCAAAACTGACTCAAAAAAATGGGATCTCTGTCAGAAATGATAGCCTTGGGAGCCCCATGAAGCCGAAAAATCTCTTGCATGAATCTTTGAGTGAGATGTTGAGCAGTGAAGTGGGTGGGAAGAGCCACAAAATGACTGTATTTACTTAAACGGTCACACACCACCCAAATTACTGCGTGTCCATGTGAACTAGGTAAGGAAGTAATGAAATCCATGGTCACCTCCTCCCAAACCTTACTTGGAGAATATAAAGGTTGCAAAAGACCTCTTGGTTTTTGAGTTTCATTTTTATTTTGCTGACAGATTGGACACCCTTTGATGAAACGACGAAGATCAGCGGCCATAGAAGGCCAGTGATAGGAAGCAGCCAAGCGACTAAGACTGTTCTTAACCCCTGAATGACCTGCAATGGGAATGGCATGGTATTCGGTCATCAATTTCCTCCGAAAATCAAATACATCAGGAACGAAGAGGCGGTTCTGAAAATAGAGTAAGCCTTCACGAACAGTATATTTATCTCCTAATTGCGTATCTGTCGTGAGTTTGTGAACTAATGCCTTCCTGTCTGGATCTGATTGAAGAAAATTTTGCCATTGTTACAGAAATGCTGGGATTGGGGAGGACAAGGCTAATAGCACTGAATCGGGGGAGTCTGTGGGTCGGGATAAAGCATCCGCAACTAGATTATGGCGTCCGGTGCGGTAGATTATTTGAAAATCAAATCCCAACAGTTTCGTCAGCCATTTCTGTTGAGCAGGGGTCTGGATCGATTGGGACATCAAGTGTTAAAGACTCTGTTGATCCGTAAGTATCAAAAAATTTTGCCCAAGTAAATATTGTCTCCATTTTTTTACTGCTTCTGTAATGGAAAACATCTCTCGTACATATACTGATTCACTTTGCATTTTGGTGCATAATTTCTTGCTGAAAAACGCCAGCGGATGATGATCTTGTGAGAGCACAGCCCCCACTGCCACGCCTGATGCATCTGTCTCAAGTACAAATGGTTTTGAAAAATTAGGCAATTGAAGAATAGGGGCAGTAGTGATGTGTTGTTTTAACTCTGTAAAGGCTTGTTGAGCCGGAGGGGTCCATGTGAATTTGGAATCTTTTAATAACTCGGTGAGAGGAGCGGCGATTCTAGCATAGTGGCGTACAAATCGCCGGTAAAAACCGGTGATACCAAGAAAGCCACATAGGCCAGTAAGCGAGAGTGGAACTGGCCAATCGAGTATGGCCTTCACTTTTTCTGGATCAGGTTGCACACCAGATTCTATAATTGTATGCCCGAGATAGGTCACACACGCCACTCCAAAGACGCACTTAGAACGCTTTTCAAAAAACTGGTTAACAAGTAACAAATCTAAAATTGGACGTAAATGCAACAAGTGGGCAGTAAATGATGTACTATAGACCAGAATGTCATAAAAAAAACAGAACAAATTTTCTTAAAAATGGTCTAAGTAGGTCATTCATTGCAGATTGAAATGATGATGGAGCATTAGAAAGACCAAAAGGCATGACCAAAAATTCATAATGTCCGTCAAAGGTTCGAAAAGCTATTTTTTTTATATCAGAAGGGTGGAGAAGAATTTGATGATACCCTGAACGTAGATCGATCTTAGAGAATATCTTAGCTGACCCTAGTTCATCCAGTAGCTCATCAATGGTGGGGATGGGAAATTTTTCTTTGATAGTAATGGCGTTCAATGCTCTATAATCAACACAAAATCTCCATGACCCATCTTTTTTTTTTACTAATAAAACTGGGGACGAAAAAGGGCTGGTACTGGGTCTAATGATGCCCTCGGTTAACATCTCTTTAATCATTTGTGTCATGGCTTCTTTTTGGTGGTGAGGATATCTGTAGGGTTTAACATTGATAGGACTAGAGTGGGGTTGTAATCGAATATGGTGGTCATGGGGACGGGAGGGT